CTGGGGTCTGTCTCTCCACTCTTCTCTGCTTCTGCTGGGCACAGCTTCATAAGTGCACTCGAGGCACTGCGTCCTTCCCCTGCAGTTGAGCAGAAGCTGTGGCCCTGTGTAGTGGCCACAGCAAACAATAGCAGCTGCTGTTGGGGCCCAGCTCCTGCTGACCACAGTGGCCTCGTGACCCTCATGGTGCACTGTCGGGAGAACATGAAACAAAAAGCCTTTCTCACTGCCACCAGGGTAGGGCTGCTCAGAACTGCACAAGAGCCATTTCCAGAGCCAAGGAAGCTGAATAACATTTTTCTGTATTTCTAGAATGCATGTCAAATGACCTGAGTCATTGAGAAAAGCTAATAAACCACCCATGGTTGATGATTATCTGTCACTGAGCCCTCGTTTTGTATCTTCTCTGTCTGAAGGCTTAGGTTGAAAATCAGCCTGTTACAGTAATAACAGTCATGACCAGCATTCTGAGCTCTCTTTGTGTGCATGACTCCTGTCCCCCTCATGGCAACCCTGCAGGGATGTCCCACTAGGATTGTCATTTTACAAGCAGGGAAACTGAGGCCCAACTCCCTTTACAAATTCTCTTTCATTTTGGTTGGGTTGGTGCTTAAAACTAGGGCATAGGGTTGATCTAAACTATGAGAAAGTGCATAGAAAAAAAGTCTGGCAGGGAAACACACTGATAGATTCCATGTTTCCTAAAGTCCATTCACTCATTTACTCCACAGATGTCATCCAAGCACTGTTGGAGTCAGGCACCATGCTGGGTGCTGGGGGCACAGCAGGGAACCTAGGCAACCTGGTCCCTGCCCTCTCAGAGCTCAAGCCTGGTGGTGAGACAGCCAGTAAAACAAAGCATTATGCATGTAAATATAATTGCTGTAACCGTGAAACAGGCTTGGAAGAAAAAGTAGAAGTAAGAAGCATAACTTCATGAACAAAAAAAAATAAAAACCCACCTGACATGATTTTTTCAATAGTTTTTGTGAAGAATTTTAAACATACAGCAAAGTCGAAAGAATTTTATAGTGAATATTTTTACACCTTGCACCTAGATTTTCCATTAGTATTTTACTGTACCTATCTATGCATTCCTCTATCCATCCATCAATCCAGTATAAATCTTTGGACATTATACATTTTTGAAAGATGAGGATGTAAAAGCCACTGGCTGGTACTGAGGAGCAGCGGTCCCTTTGGATGGATTTTGCCAGTCCACTCCCAGCCCACCTGTGGCACCTGCCTGACCCCAGGAGGGTCAGAAGTGGCGGCCCCCGACTATTTTTCAAGAGGGAAGTAGTAACTAGCAGAAGAAGGAAAATGTAGCTGTCTTCCTTTGTTACTTAAGTCTAGAATATGTTGTCCTTCAGGGGAGCCAGTGGTCGGGTGCCAGGACAGAACACCTACTTGGGCTAATAAATCGCACAGCTCCCCAGCTCAGCCTCCACAGAACAAGGTTGGTGACACATCAGGCAAGGTTAGAGGGTGAGATGGAGGAGTTGCCTCATTAATTCTCTTGTCAGGCCTGTCTGGGAGGCCAGAGCACCCAGGATTAAGCTGCCTATACCCCCGGCCCAGCACCTCTGAGCAGCTTTTGACATGGCCACAATAAGAAAGGCTCCAGCATAGCCCCTTGGGGGAAGATTTGCACCCACAGGTGTTGGAAGTAGGCTCACTTGCTGAGAAGAGACGGCTTACCGCTCAGCAAGAGGGCTGTGTGCCAGGAGCCCACAGCTGGGCGAGGCCATGGCCAGGCCCAATGAGAGGCCTCAGGAAGGAAAGTGGAGAGTGGCAGGGTGCAGGATGAGTGTGACTGCCACTCAGCAGAGGATCCCAGGGACCTGGTGGCTTCCACGTGTGGGTAACATTTGCTGGACCATGGAGTCTGACCCTAGTGATGATAGGAACTCATAAAAATGATTAAAGTCCATCTGTTGAGGGCTCACCATGCACTAGGCACTCTGCTAAGTGTGCTTCATGCATTATTTTTCATTCCTATGACACCCTATGAAATAAGTACTGTTACTGCTCCATTAAACATGTGAGGAAACTGAGGCACACAAGAGGCGAGACTTGCCCAGGTAGGGAGTGACCCTGTCTGTCTGAATCCCTAGCCTACCTTCTTTCTATTAGGTTACAGGATATTTCATTTAAAGTGTCTAATGCTGTTTCCCCAATGTACCTCTTTTCACAGTTGCAATTAGAATATTCCAGGTGGCCAGCCAGCTGTGCTGGGTCACCTTCGGTGGAATTCAGCCTGTGCAGTCAGTTGGTGCACATCAAGGCCCTTGCCTGGCCTCCTGGGCATTAGCATTTCCCTCCTGTGGGTTTGGCACTGCCTCTGGCCTGCTCTGGGCTCTGTATCAGGCTAGCGAGCTCACTTTTCTGGACTCAGTGGTGGACAGTGAGAAGGTGTTGGGGAAACGCAGCTGTCTTTCTTCAGGCACTGAGGGTGAAGTCCATGTTGAGCCTGCTCAGTAAAGATCTTGTGCGTTTCCTCCCTGCCCTGCTTCTTGTAAGGATATTTGGCTGGCGTTATGCCTCTGGTCCCTGTGATAGCTTGCCAAAGGGGTGACAAAGGAGGAAGGAGCAGAGGCAGGCAGTGGGCTGCTCACATTCCACATTGAGCCCCGAGTGCCAGGCATTGCACTCCTAGTCTGCATTCCATCAGCTCGGAGGTGCCACCTGTAGTACGATGCTCCATTTCGTCATGGCCCACCAAGAAAGGAAATATGCCTTCGTTTAAGAACATTCCCATTCCAGACATGGACAAAATTTGTGTCTTGGAATTGAATTGTTTCAGGTCATCCTTGTCGTACATCTGTGATTGATTCTGTTGCACCTTTTGCTAGATGGGAAACAGGAGGCTCAGAAAGCCGAAGGGACATGCCCAAGCCCACACTGCCACTGCGCCCAGAGCTGGTAGTCAAGCCCAAGTTCACCGTGCCTCTGGGTCAGTCTCCATTCCTTGCTCTGTCTCCCCCATCTGTCTTGTGGCTGGGATCCTGTTGCTGGTGTGTTCTCCCAGGTTCTTATGTAGAGGCACAGAACTACAGAACCTCTGTGTCATCAGCTCATTTCTTCCTTATAAGCTGGCAAATGAGAAGGTTATCGATAAATCTGACCCCTCTTCTCCCACCTGGTGAGATTCCTCATCCTCCCTCCTGGCCAGCTGGTTAATTAGTGATGATCTGCCTTGTTGGCCAAGATGGGTTTCTCAGAGCATTATTCGTTTTTTTCCCCCTTGGGCTTAAAATAGCTAAATAAATTTCACAGCCAGGCAGAGCTTTATAACACCAACTTTCTCTGTACATTATTACATAGTTAAAAGTCATAGCCGGAGGGAGCAGCTCCAGCCAAAACTCCACTGTTTGCATTTTTTTCTTTTCACGTACTTCCATAAGGGGGAGCTGGGACGCGGGGCGGGGAGCTGGGGTTCCTTGGCTTCCGTAGGTGGGCAGAGTGTGAGAGGGAGGTGTACCTCGGGGCAGGTGCTCTGGGGGTCAGGGGGTGCGTGTGGAGCTCTAGCTTTGGTCCCTCGTCTTCCCTTTCTGGACAGTCTGAACAAGTCTCCATTTATAGTGGTTTGGTGGTTTCCTTCACCCTGATCACAAAAGTTAGGCAAAAAACCGTCAGGCTTCTGTGTTGGCGGGGGAGGGGGCAGCTTTCTCCAGCAAAGGCTGGGGCTTGATGACCCCACTGGGGCCTCGGTCTTTTCTGAGTAGGGCCTGTCCTTCCCTCCAGCACCCAGACAGGACCCCCTCCCCCACTTTGCTGGCCCATCAGCCTCCACCCAAACAACGTGCTGCAAAGCCAATAAATAAATGCCACAGACAGAGAAAAAACGCAAACACCCAGATCCCAAACCTCTTCCTCCTGCCAGTACTGTTCTCTAGATTATAAAATGAAATAAAAAACTAAAAACCATCGAGAGAGCAGCAGTCCCAACCAGCCATCGGCAGCAGCAGGACTAAAGGACTGTATACAGCTATTAGGTGAAATAGTTACATGACAGGCAAATGCCAAGAACATTGACAAAAATTGTCATACTTACAAGTAAGATAAAAATCTTTGAAGAGTCTGTATACTTTTACAGTTTTTGCTCTAGGTAAATGAGGCTCTCAGTCTGAGAGCTCAAAACCCACGTCAAGGTCAGCCAGTGCCAGCCACAGTGGCTGGCCACTGTGCCCTCCGGTCTAGACCCTGAGAACCTCACCTGTATTGCTGAGACATGTTCAGTCCAAGGTCCTCTGTGAGGCATTGGCAGGAGAGGGGTGAGGAGAGGAGGAGGACAGGGCTCACTAGGCAGTGGAGGGACAAGATTAGACCAGAGAAGAGCATGACCTGCCTGTGTGGCCATCCTGACCTGAAACTTGCAGGCACAGGGGTGTGAACAGAGGAGGGGGGCAGGAATGGGTGGTGCAGGGCCTCAGCTCCCATCTCTTTCCTTCCTGAGGTCTAGGACACTCGGAGGCCCCACCCTCAGAGCATTGGTTCTTCATGATACTATGCAGCTGTGCTGACCAGTATGGCAGCTACCAGCCACATGTTGCTGTTTGAAGTTATATGAATTAAAGTTAAATAAAATTACAAACTCAGTTCCTCAGTCTCTCTCACTACCTATCAAGTGCTCAGTAGCCACCTGTAGGTAGCATATCTGACAGTGCAGATATAGAACATTTCCAACATTGCAAAAAGTTCTGTTGGACAGGGGTGTTCTAGGGAGAAACCACAAAAGGTTTGTCCCTTAGATATACCACGTGCAGTTTGAAGGCTCTGACAAGTCCTGTAGTAAAAAACTGATTTTACTATTTTGGGGCCCAGCACTCCCCTAATTTACTTGCCTGTAGAAACTTTAGAACACCTGTAAACAACTCTGCCTTCCCTTAAACACACCAAATGACCTTCCTTCATGTTCCCAGGTGTCCATGGTCTGTGGTAGTCCTGAAGATCACCCTTGTTGGGAATCTAAATCTTTCTTCTCATTTTGTCCCCAGATTGCCTTGGGTCCCCAGTGTTTACTCCCATCAAGGCGGACATAAGTGGCAACATCACGGTATGTACTTGGCCTGGCACCTGCAGCTCCAAACCTGCATCAGGAATTTAACCCTGCCGTGGGGCACAAGCACCCTGCTCCCAGTTGCAAGCTCCCCAGCCCAAGGAAGGAGAAGCAGACATGGGGAAGGAGACTGGGACCCCAAGCTCATCTAACTTGGGGCCCTAGGTTTGCAGTCCTCCTTTGCAATCATGCCATCTAGTCATGGTCTGACTGGGACCAAAGTCCAAAGGGTTGACTCCGAGAAGGAACCTACTGGTTCTTTCATCCACCCTCACCAAGTAAGAAGTAAACTCCAAAGATCATGGGTGGCATTGGCCTGGCTCTCTCCTTACCGAGTCCTGGGAGTTCCTGATGCCATCCCCTCAGCCATAGACCCTTCCCTATGAGGACCCACTTAGGGCCCAGCCTGGGACTTGGGAGACACGGCATTATTTCATTTCTTCATCCCAGCAGCCCTTCCAGGCTGGTTCTGTCTCCCCTCAGCCATAGACCCTTCCCTATGAGGACCCACTTAGGGCCCAGCCTGGGACTTGGGACACACGGCATTATTTCATTTCTTCATCCCAGCAGCCCTTCCAGGCTTGTTCTGTTGTTATCCCTTTTTGTAGATGAGGAAACTGAGGCTCAGAGAGGTTGAAGGACTCACTTAAGGTCACACAGCAAGTAAGAGGCAGAGCTGGGATTCAGACCCAGGCCTATCTGGCTCCAGATCAGAGGCCTTTGTTTCTGGACATCTTTGACTCCTAAGAGATTTTCACTTGTCCACAAAAGTGAAACTTCAGATACTTGGCACCTGAGATAGAGTCAATAGTGGTTGGAGAACATGGACTCTGGAGCCAGTCTGGGCTGGGACCCATTCCCACCTGGACCAGCTGTGTGACCTTAGGCACATTACTGCCCCTCTCTGAGCTTCAGTGTCCTCAACTGTACATTGAGATAACGACAGAGCACCATCAGGGTTGCCATGTCATATGAAGCACTTTGCATTTCCTGGCATATGGGAGGCACCCAATAAATGTGAACAGTTGTGGAGTTACTGTTACAAGTCTTGTCCCTGTTGTTCTCGATGGGCCAGAAGGAAAGGGAGGTGCTGGCAGAGTGCTCCTCCATCCAGTGTGTGCGCTGGCCAGTTTCATCTGAGGGCAGCTTTTCCAAGGGGAAAACCCCGTGTGCTCCATTTCAGAAAATCAAAGCTGTGTATGACACCAACCCGGCCAAGTTCCGGACCCTGCAGAATATCCTGGAGGTGGAGAAAGAAATGTACGGAGCAGAGTGGCCCAAAGTGGGGGCCACGCTGGCGCTGTTGTGGCTGAAAAGGTGACAGACTTGGGTGGCAGGGACTGGGGCCCTGTACTGCAGAGGATGGGAAGCAAACCCTCCCACTGCCCCGCAGTGTCTAGGAAGGAAGGTCACTTCCGTTTCTTTTGCAAAGGTGCCCTTCTAGTGTGATGCTAATTAATGACTGAGAAAAGCCTTCCTAGGGCCAAGGCTTGCCTGATGGTGACACTTCCTTTTCCAGTTTCATCACAGGCATCGCAAGCAAGTGCATACTCCATCCTGGGCATTGTGCTAAGCTCTTCATGTATATATGCCTGCTCGAATGTCACACTCTGTGAGTTAGATGTGGTGACCCTCCCCATCTCACAGAGGCAGCCATGGGGGCTTTTGGAGACCAGATCACGTGTCCAGCTCATCTAAGCACGGTTGTGCAGGTTGTGTACTGCACAGAGGTGTCCTGGTTAGGGCTGGTCATATTGTGCAAAAGATGGATTTTTATATCATGACAGTTTCTTGACAGAAATACAGCATCTTGAAGAGGAGTTCTATCTAATTGGCACAAAGGTGTTCTATGGGCTGGGGGTGGGACACTCTGGTTTGAACCCATGCTGTTCTCTACCAGCTACAGAATTCTCCTTTAGCTGTGCAGATGCCACAGCTCCCTGCAGCTGCTATGAAGCCAGGGACCCATTCCCTGACCCACAGATGTTCCCGATGTTGCCCCATTTCTGAGACCTGGAGTCAGGAGGGGAGCTCTTCCCTCATCTCCCTTCCAGTCTCCTGGAATCTCCTCCACCTCCTGCCCCCAATACACAAACACACACAATTTCTTTGGTGAAATGGAGCAGGGAGAGTCAGCTCCCTGAACGGTGAGGTGGGCATCGGAGGTGTAGGTGGGCTGTAATTAACACCCTTACAGTTTAAGGAATTGACCCCACTGAGCTACCCATCTTTGTCTGTCAGCAAGAGACCAACAGGCCTCAGGAATGCCCCTGGGTCCAGCCATCCAGCAGGTTCTGTGGGTTTTTCAGGAGGAGCAAGGCAGGCGGTAATGTTCAGAGCAGTTAGATTGTTCACATCCCAAATCAGATGTGGGCAGAGCCAGATGACTGAGGTGGCAGATGCTGGCCACTGGTGATTGCCAACAGGTCAAGCCTGTGAGAAGCACCTGCCATGTGTCATACACAGTGCTAAGCGTGTGGAATGCTTCATTGAACAAGGCACCATTCAATGGCATCACTTAGGTCATCGCCATCTGGGGAGAGAGTCAGGCTGGTGGCAGATCCTGACAGCAGAATATCAGAGCCTGGAGTAGAGACAGTTCAGGGAAAGCTTCCTGGATGAGGAATGCCAAGCAGATACTGAGACTGAACAGGAAGGTCCCAGGTGGACAAAGGCACCAGGCCTTGCAGAGGTGGGAGGGCACAATGTTTCTGCAGCTCCTCGAGAGTCTAGTCCAGCCAGGGCCCTGGATATGAGGCAGGGGAAAGATGAGGCTGGATTGGACAAGGATGAGCTCCAGCCCGATCAGGGGTCCTGGGTAGCAGCCACTGAAGGGCAGGAAGCTGGTTAGCAACAGGATCAGATGGGGTTTTAGGAGAAATCATCCCAGCTGCTGGGTAGAGAAGGGATTGTTAGAGCCAGGAGAGGAGGCGATGGGGCTTGGGAGAGGCAGGGGCTCAGGAGAGGTGGTTGGCTAGTGCAGGGCCGCAATCAAGCCCCATTCTCAGTTCCGTGCCCCAGGCTGACCCCTGACTGACAAGAGCTCTAATCCAACTGTGGAGGATTTGCCTGATCCTCACCCCCCTGCAGGGAGGGAGCAGAGCAGCTCATCCAGGGACCACAGTGAGACAGTGGGGGGCAGCAAAGGAAGGAGCCCAGCTTGGGGGTGAGACAGGCTGGGTCCATGTCCCAGCCAGTGACCAAGCCTCTTTGGGGAGCCTCAGTGCTCTCCTCTGTGAAATGGGCTGATCGTGCCCAGCTGAGCCCCTTGGGGCCATGGGGAGCAAGAAGTGAGATGATGTGCAGTAAAGGGCTGGCACTGATCAGATTTTCGATTTGGGCTCCCAACTATAACCCACACCCTTCTCCAGTTTTCAAAGCATCACCCTGCCCCTTGAGGAAGGGCATCAGTGGCAGTTGGAGGATGCAGACCATGGCTTGGGGCAGTGGGTTGCTGCACAGTCTCAGTCAGAGGAACGGTGTAGGAGATTTAGAAAGATCCCAAGGGCTGCAGAGTAGAGAAAGGAAGCCCAGGTGGGCATGGGGCCAGGCTTGCCAGTGTGCCCGGTGTGTCCACAGTCTGTGCTCTGTGAGTCCTTTGAGGGCAAGTGTTATGACTTCATTCCTCAAATTGATGGCTACCTGCCACCCACGGGCCCACAAGAGTCTATATGGACCCAGAACTGGATGGGGTAGGCCCAGACCCTGCCTTCATGGATCTTATAGCACCGTGGGGACAATTGTCATGGGCCAGCACCAGGCCTAATAGAAGGTGCTCAGGAGATGTTGAGGTGAGCCAAGGGTCTTACCGCACATAAGCAGAGCATAAGGATAGCAGTTCAGGAGTAACTGCTCCCTTTTGTGTGTACGTATTCCTGACTCACAAGTAGGTGCTTCATTCAGAGTACATCAGGGTCTACCATGACAGGGGTCTGCTGAGTTGTTGATGAGGCAGGAGCATGCAGGGTCCTAAAGAGTCATCTCCTCTCTGGGCCATAGAGGCCTCCGTTTCATCCAGGTCTTCCTGCAGAGCATCTGTGACGGGGAGCGGGACGAGAACCACCCCAACCTCATTCGAGTCAACGCCACCAAGGCCTACGAGATGGCCCTCAAGAAGTACCATGGCTGGATCGTGCAGAAGATCTTCCAGGTGAGCCGCCCCTCCCCGCCAGGCCCAGAGGACCACCAGCTTGTGGGTTCCATTCCCTGCTCTGTCACTTCTCTGCTGTGGCCTCTTGGAACCTACGTTTGCCCACCTGGGCTCAGGAAGGGCTCCCCTGTCTATTTGGGGTGAGGCTGGTGTTCTGAGGGATCCCCCTCACATGCACTAGGCCAGCCCTATCTGTGGTCCTGGAGGGGCATTATTGTAGATGCTCCATGGTGTTACTCTTTAGATGGCTTGGCCTGTGAGGCTTGATTGCGGGGTGAGGAGTGAAACTATGGCAAAGGCTTTTGAGGACCTGAGGTTGATGGTGGGCTGGCCTAACTGGCCCCTTGGATTCAGCCTGGACCTTCCCATGGGGTAGAGAGGGAAAGAAAGGCCTCTGTCCCCATGGGGACATCTGCTGAAAGGACATTGGCCTGCAGGGTTCTTGGTGGCTTGTGTTGGGGTGACATTGTCCAGGGCTCCTGGAAACATCCTCAGCATTAGCCTGGTTAGCTGAAGGCCCGGGTCACAAGGCTGAGAGGCCCACTCAGGAAACATGGAAGGGCCCTTGGGGTGCCTTACACATGGTTGCTGGCCACCCTACCTCTCACTGCCCCCTCATCTTACCCTGCATGGCCTTGCCCAGCCTGCCAAGGCCACCATTTCTGCTGCAGCTCCCATCACCTGCCCATCCTCGCTGCCATGAGAACCAGGATCTGAAGGCTGACCTTTCCCATGAGGCACAGGCCGCAGGGAGGCTGGATTGGGAGCCAGTCTGGGTTCGGGCAGGAAGAGCTGGTTGTGGGGCAGAAAACATGGTCACCTGTGAGCCATCTGCCCCAGCAGGGCTGGGGACAGGGCCCATCCTAGGTGGGTGCCTTAGGAGCCCCCTGCTGTGCAGTACACTTTCCCCCTGAGAAAGCCTTGTGACTGCGATCTTAATAATAACAGTGTGTCCTGTGTGCCTGGCCCAGGGCAGCTGCCTGTGAATTGTAATCTTTACAAATGCACCCCGAGATGGGTACTCTCACCCCCATTTCACAGAGGAGGAAAATGATGCTCAGACAAGTTAAGTATCTGGCTCAAGGTCACACAGTACAAATATGGGGGGCTGGGATTCTACCTTCCTGAGCCTCAGTGTCCTCATCTTTCAAATGGGTATAAAATAGGCCCACTTCAAAGGATCACTGCGATGATTAAATGACTTGACCTATATACAATGCTTGGCATGTGGTTTATACTCAATAAATCGAAGTTACTACTACTTTTACTGTTAATGATATTATCGTTTGTACTTTCCTCATTTATCAAACTCATAGCCTAAGCTCTTTATCTGGTTGCATCTTTTTCCTTCTGGCTTTGAAATTCTGTGAATTTCTGATTCTCTGCACTGAAATGTAGGGAAGTGTCATCCCCCTAAGGACAAAAGAAAGACCACAGCACAGACTAGCAGTTGTTTCCACTGCTCAGAAAATGGGTTTTCTGAAGAAATAGTTCACCTTTTCCAGAGCAGGGAACCCAGAAGGACGAGGCTGAGCACCTACCGTGTGCCTGCTGCTGTGCTGAACACTTCACATAACCTCCTTCATCCTTACAAAAGCAGCCTGATTAGGTGGGTGCCATTATTATCCCCATTTTACAGATGAGGAAACTGAGGCTCAGAGTGGCTAAGTAACTTGCTCAAGGCTCACAGCTAGTCGGCGGCACAAGCTGGAATTTGCACCCAGGTCTGTCTGTCCCCAAAGCTGGTTTCCTTCCTGCTGTCCCTCACAAGGGTAGAAGGGAAAACACATCTCCCTCTTCCTTTTCCTTTCCCTTCCAACGAATAGCACAGACCCCTGCCCAGCATGGACCTTGGGGAGGTCCCCTCCCAGAACCCTGGCTTGCTGGCTTGGTGTCTCAGTCCCTGCTAATGCTGTACTCCCCTCCCCTCTTGCCCATCTTAAGGCAGCGCTGTATGCGGCACCCTATAAGTCTCCCTCCCAGAACCCTGGCTTGCTGGCTTGGTGTCTCAGTCCCTGCTAATGCTGTACTCCCCTTCCCTCTTGCCCATCTTAAGGCAGCGCTGTATGCGGCACCCTATAAGTCGGACTTCCTGAAAGCGCTCTCCAAGGGGCAGAACGTGACGGAGGAGGAATGCCTGGAGAAAGTCCGCCTCTTCCTGATCAACTACACAGCCACCATTGATGTCATCTATGAGATGTACACTAAGATGAATGCTGAGCTCAACTACAAGGTGTAGGCATGCCCAGTAGCAGGCTCGCCCCCGGCACATGCCACTCGCAGAAACAGGCAAACCCGAATCACTGTGAATCAAGCCGGCCCGCTGCCCCTGGCCTACATCCCCCAGAGCGGCCCAGAGTCCAGCCAGGGTCTTCAGGGAATGGCCCTGGTTTCATGAAAATTTTTTTTTTTTTTTTTTTTTTTTTTGTCTATTCTAATGGAGCAATAAGTAACAATCCTACTTCCAAATCTCCTTTGGATTTCACAATAGCACAGACTGACTTTACACCTTCATTTCAGTGTGGTAAAAATCTATTAATGTTTCTAATGAATCAAGTCCTAGGGTTTTTTGTTTTTGTTTTTTCCCTCCTGTGTAGCACAGCTTTAGGGCAATGGTGTCATACACCTCATTGTAAAAATAAGCACATGTCCTTATAAAGATCTCACTGAATGCTGTTTTAGGTATGTTAAAGACTATGAAGTGTTTGATTTGAAATTATGCAGGGCCCCTATTGTGGGATTTTTTTTAAAAAGCAAACTTGTGTGCATTATGTGGTTTGCAGAGCCTAACCTCACAGCACTGTCATTATAAATCCTACTCTTTTTGACTGTCTTGACTGACAGTTTTTTTTATAGCTGAAACCAACCAGCAAGGCTTTGATGACCAAGAGGCATTTCTTTTAAAGCTATTGGACACAAACAATTGACTGTAGGTGACTGTACTGTATTTGCATTCTTCCACATAATTGTTTTCTTCAGGGACAGCTTTTCCAACCTAAGGAACTACCTACCACGTGTATTCTCTCAAGGGGGTGAGATGAACCTTCCAACTGCTGAGATCCAAGAAAATGCCTCGCTGCCTTAATTGTCCTTCCTGGCACTAAAAAGAGCTATATTTTTAAAACTGTTGGGGCAAAAAAAGCAACCCCAAAAGAATTGATGTGTTTTAAAAAAAAAAAAAACCCAATGAGGAACAATTAGTAATTTTTATGCAGAAACTAAACAATCCTTAATAAATAAATCTCTATTTTGGAATCACATCTGTGTGCTGTTTTGGTTCTTGATTTTTTTTTTTTTTTTTTTTTCCTGCATCAGAGGTTACAGTGGGGACCCTTACACCAGATCTGCTAAGGACCTGCTTTCTGGCCTCCGTGGTTTTAAAAACATAGAACTGGCTGCCACATTGAGAAACTTGGGGATTTCACATAAAAATCTCAGGTTTCTAGCTGCTCTTGAAAAATCAGACTGCTTGGCAGGAGCTGAGAGATGACTGCACCCTTGGCTGGGCAGGGAAAGGAGAGGAAGGAGGTATTCACTCCTCTGCTAACACCATCAGACAGGGAGGAAAAAACACTGTATATGAGGCGCTGCAAAATTGCTTTACACACATCATGTCACAGCCACCTGAGATGTGGGCATCTGGAATCTCGTTTATTAGATCAGAAACTGAGCCCCCCTGGGATGTGGCAAAGGACTCACCCAGGGTGACCCAGCTAGATGTAGGGGCACTGGGGTTTTTTGTCTGACTCCAACTGACAGAATGAGCCCGCCTTCCAACATACTGCCTGCCAGTGTGTTCCCACTGATGGGAAGCTGCCTTATCTGACCCAGGTCAATCTGATACTGCACAGAAATCCGAATTAGCATACAAGTTTTTCCAAATGTGACTCATTTATTCACTTGCTGATTCATTCAGTTAAAATTCACTAAGCCCATTCTACAATATTTCAAACCCATTATAATACATCGCTATTATAGAGAAGAAACTGAAGCTCACCTCCCCCTTCAGAGCCTCAGTTTCCTTATCTGTAACACGGAGGTCTTGCTAACACGCACCTCACAGGGTTGTTGTGAGGCTTAAGTTAAATGTTACTATTTGTGAAGCAATTAACGTTGGAAGCATAGTAAGTTAGCTGGCTTAGCAGGAATGTGACGTGGGGTGTGCAGTGATGTAATCGAGTATTGGAGTCCTGACTAAGCTGTTTATTAGCGAAGTGGCTTTGGACAAATCATTTCACCTTTCTGAGCCTCCGTTTCCTCATCCATACCGTGGGGACACTAACAGTTCCCACCTCACCAAGAGTCAATGAAACTGCCCAGGCAGGCATTTAGCTGCATAATCGTTCAGCGTTGACCCGATTATCATCATTTTCTGGAGGTTGTAGAAGAATGGAGGAAGGACATCTCCCTTCGGTTTTGTTGATTGGTTGATGGGGTCCCCTCGTTCACACTGGTCCCCAGCCTGCGCACTGAACGCCTGCAGCTCCCGCGGGGCCCAGTAGGTGGCGATGTCCGCACTGCTCGGCGGGGAGTCCCCGCCAGGACGCGCCTCCCCGCGCCCCCAGCCTCCGGCCCGCGCCCAAAGTGGGGGTGCGCGATGGGGCGTAGGGGCTTGCCTTCCTAGCGAGCTCGAGTTGTTTCCCAAGAGCTAAATGAAGAGCCCTACTTCAACACTGTTGGGAAAGTACGAAGGCCCTCTAGCGAGTGCTTTAGGGTTCTGACTTCAGACATAGGTGTGTCTTACTACTTTTAGCACTAGTACTGCTCCTGTTACCACCACTACCATCAGCACCGCCACCACCTAACAGTTTTTGGAGTTACAGCACCGCCACCACCTAACAGTTTTTGGAGTTAAGTCCAGATTCTGTAATTTTTGTAATTTTGTAATTTTTGTGATCCAGGGCAAGTCAATTCACCTCTCTGAGGCTCAGTTTCTGCATCTGTAAAATGGGACAGAAACACCTCTACCTTGCAGGATTACATAAAATAATGGCTGTAAAATGCCTGACACATAGAAGATGTTCAATAACTGGCTTTTATTAATGTTTTTACTTAATATGATGCTGCACCCTGCCAGGGGCTCCTGAAGGGACAACCTGGCCACCAATGCAGTACTTAAACTGTAGCACGTTCACTTACTCCTTGTTCTCAAAGATACAGCAGGGCCCATGTTCACAAATCAACAAGGAACACCCCAGAAAACATGGTGGAATCTGGCCACTATTCCTCAGTCTGCTCTGATCCACCGTTGTAACTCTGGGCAAGTCTCTTCTCCCTTTTGGGCCTCAGTTTCCTCATCTTTTTTTTTTTTAAAGATGACTGGTAAGAGGATCTTAACCCTTGACTTGGTGTTGCCCTTTTTTTTTTTTTTTTTTTAAAGATGACTGGTAAGAGGATCTTAACCCTTGACTTGGTGTTGCCCGCACCACGCTCACCCAGTGAGTCAACCGGCCATCCCTATATGGGATCCGAACCCGGGGCCTTGGTGTTATCAGCACCGCACTCTCCCGAGTGAGCCACGGGCCGGCCCTCAGTTTCCTCATCTTTAAAATCAAGGGATTAGGTGGTTCAAAGCTCCTTCCCAGCTCTGACAATCTACAATGGACACCTCTTACCACTGTAACCAGCCCCTGTTTTGTATTCATAATTCCAGTGAAATCAACACTCCGCTTATAAAATCAAACGAGACCACACATGCAAAGCACTGTGTATGGCACCTGGAGCCTAGAGGGTGCCTGGTAAAGGGCAGCTATGATGATGGTTAACCCTTAATCAGCCCTTGATCTGGCCTGGGGGAGAATTGTCTGGAAGACGAAGTCATTCAGCTCCTGTTTGCTGAGCACCTACTGCGTGCAAGGCCCTGAGCTAGGATCAGGGGGATCCTGCAAAAAGAAGACAGATAAGGCCCCCACATCTCAAGGGGCTCAAGGTCCAGTGGAGGAGATGCACAGTAGATCCAGAGAGCAAAACACGAAGTGAAGGATAGTACACAGGGCAGTGTGACGGGAAGTGATTACGGAGCCCTGATTTATATGGGGGGTGGGCAGGGAGGAACTCTCTGCGGAGGTGACATTTGAGCTGAGATCTGAAGGGAGAGAAAGAGCAGGTCATGAAGAGAGGCTGGCAACAGCTAGTGCAAAGGCCCTGAGGAAGGGGAAGAAGCAGCATGTTCTAAGGACAGAGAAAGGCCAAGGTGGCCGGAGCCTGGAGAACAAGGGGGGATGAGGAGCAATAGTGGAGGATGAAACCCAGAGGTGCCCAGGCCAGCATACATTTGGGTTTTGTTCTAACAGCAGGGGAAGTCATAAGTCCCTGTAAGTAGAGGGTGACAAAGCCAATTAAACAGTTTAAAAAGGTGTTTGCCAGGATCTCAAGGGGTCACTTTTGTGGAGTGAGAAAAGAGGCTGTCCCCTGCTCTGCCCCAACCCAACCTCTGCCTCTTCCTGGCCAGAAAAGGTGGGCTTCATCACTGCTGTTGCACTTTACTTTGTGGGGGTTCCCTGGCCTCTGTGAAAGTCATGAGCCCCTCTCCAGAAAGTGCTCATTCACCAGTCTCAATTTCATGAAACATTCCAGGACTTCCATGGATCCACAGTAGACCCCCCAGGGGCCCCCATTGGGAATCTTTGAATTACTCTGATCCCACTGGGACCAAGGCCTAGATGCTCCCTCCGTCCTGCGCCACAGCCTTCAGCTGGAGGCCATCTTTGAAGTGCCCGTGGCCAGCTGTGGCTCTGTCACACCCACAGGCCACCAGGCCTGCTGCCCAGAGGAATGGAATCACAGCCAGTGGCTGAGCGC